AGCCTCAGGTTAAATGCAGTGTTCTCTTGTGGGTCTGTGCCTTTCAGCACAGAAAGTCTGAAATTCTCAGCATCCAGGGTTCCAGCAGATGTGTGCCTTGCTGGGCAATCAGGAAGGTTCATGGCCCAGGCCATGGCCCTGCTGACCTTCGCAGCAGAGCCCAGGCAATGGCAGTGGGCAGGGCTCTGCCCACTCTCATCATCTCTGCATGGCTGGCACAGAGAGTGATGGTGAAGGTGCTGCATCCACATGGGGCCAGGCACCAGTGGTGTCCCTCAGGGGTCTGTGCTGGAGCCAGTTCTATTTAATATTTTTATAGATGACATGGATGAGGGCATCGAGTCCTTAATTAGTAAATTTGCAGACTACACTGAGCTGGGAGCTTGTGTTGATCTAATGGAAGGAAGGAGGGCTCTGCAGAGAGATTTAGATCGGTTAGATGGATGGGCAGAGTTCAACATGATGAAGTTTAATAAGTTTAAGTGCTGAGTTCTACATTTTGGCCACAAAAATCCCTTACAATGTTACAAGCTGGAGCCAGTGTGGCTGGATACTGTTCAGGAGGAGAGGGACCTGGTCGACAGCTGGTTGAATATGAGCCAGCAGAGTGCCCTGGTGGCCAAGAAGGCCAATGGCTCCTGGCCTGGATCAGGAATGGTGTGGCAGCAGGAGCAGGGAGCTCATTCTGCCCCTGTACTGGGCACTGCTGAGGCTGCACCTTGAGTGCTGTGTCCAGTTCTGGGCCCTCAGCTTGGGAAGGACATTGAGATGCTCGAGCACATCCAGAGGAGGCAACAGGGCTGGAGAGGGGCTGGGAACACAAATCCTGTGAGGAACGTTTGAAGGAGCTGGGGGTGTTTAGCCTGGACAAGAGGAGGCTTAGAGGTGACCTTATTGCTCTCTACACCTCCCTGAAGGGGGGTTTTAGACAAGTGGGGTCGGTCTCTGACAGAACCAGAGGACACGGTCTCAAGCTACATCAGGGAAGGTATAGGTTGGATATTAGGAAAAAATGTTTCACTAAAAGAATAATAAAGCACTGGAATGCTCTTCTCAGGGAAGTGGTACAATCACCGTCTCTGCATGTGTTTAAAAAAGACTGGACATGGCGCTTGGTGCTATAGTCTGGTTGAGGTGTTGGGGCATAGGTTGGACTCGATGATCTTAGAGGTCTCTTCCAACCCCATTATTCTGTGATTCTGTGATTCTGTGATGAGCTCCACCACAGCTGGAGCTCCAGAGCCGTGCTCAGGGCAGAGCCAGGCAGGAGGGAGCAGCAGTGGGGAGTTCACCTTCCCCTGTCCCCAGGCTGCCTTTGTGTTCCCTCCTCACCCCTCCCAGGGGACAGGGCCATCCCTGCTCAGACAAGCACAGAGAACTTTGCAGAAGCTTTCAGCTGCCTCTGGGCTGGTGGGTGGAGCCACACAGTGGAGGCTAAGGGCTCTATCCATCTAAACGATCTTCTAATACACATATATTTTATTTATTGTATCTAAATTTTGATACCTTTTGTGTTAATAATATAAAAATAAGTTAAACATTTATAAATAATAACCTTTCAATAAGTTGATAAAAAATAACCATTCAGTAAGTTGAATGTTAATAAGATTAAGTCAAGTTTCACTATATTTAAGTACTCTTGAGTTACATTTTATCACTTTAATATTCTATTAAAATTAAGTTTATTATTCTTTGTGGTTAAAGTTTACTCCTTCTAAGTTTAAGTGCTGTTTAACATAAATTATCCTAAATCTTGTTAAAAGTAATTTATGTAAACTGTAAAATACATAGTTAATTTTCTTAGAGAAGTAAGTGTGGTGCATCCTAAATCTTGTTAGAAGTAATTAAACTGTAAAATACATAGTTANGCTGGGGGCAGGGATGGATACAGCCTGACCCTGTACCGGGCAGCCCTGGGCACTGTGGCAGCCACAGCCTCGCTGGGCAGGGACAGCCACAACTTCACCTTCACGGGGCTGGCACCAGGACACCAGTACTTGCTGGAGGTCACTGCCACAGCAGGACAGTACCAGGCAGCAGCACCCAAAATCAGTGCCTGGACATGTAAGTACCTGAAGCAGTGTCCTCTGCAGAGGGGTGGGAATGTCACACACTGGGCTGCCCTGGGGAGGGTTGGGGGGTTCATGGGGACCTGGTGGCTTTGGAGATGTGCACACACCTGTGCAACACTCAGCAGTTAGTGCAGGGGCACACTGCTGGCTGCATGGCACTGGCATGTCCAGCTGTAGGCTTGCATAGGGCCATGCTGATGAAACAGTAATGCAGCCTCTGCTGGGTTTTGGGGTATCCCCAGGGGGGCTGCAATGGGGTCTGGATAGCCCAGCCCTGCTCAGCACAGCCTGTCCCAGTTCCCAATGGGGTCTGGATAGCCCAGCTCTGTTCAGCACAGCCTGTCCCAGATCCCAAGCAGCTCCCAGACCCCCTTACCAAGCTTAGGTGATATCAGCTCTAGTGATTAGCAGCTCATTTGTGATTTCAGCTCTTTGCTGGCTGGGTGCCTTAGGCAGAAGCAGGGAGAGAGAGGAGAAGGCTGTGTGAGGTTCCACAGGGGTGTCTTTATTGAATCTTCTGTGAAGGTTCCCAGGGACAGCTCTTCTGCCAAACTGGGCAAAAGTAGGGGTTTTTATAGGATACAGGGGTTTTGGAAATTGTCCAATAGTAAGGGTTAAAGGAAAGTGACCTATAGTCTTACAGAGATATAAGCAAGGGTCCAAAGGCAGAAAAAGGGGCTTCTAAGGTCCAGTCATCATCACTGGGCATTTCCTATCTTGGGCTGCTGAACGCCATGGGGGCATTGCAGGCTCTGGGCCTGCTACAAAATAGGGCTGCCCAGATGTGCCTGTGCTGGGACATGCCCTGCCTGTGCTGGAACATTCCCTGCCTGTGCTGGGGCATTCCCTGCCTGTGCTGGGACATTCCCTGGCTGTGCTGACCCATCTCCCTGTGCACAGGAGCACAGATGTGTACAGGGCACCTGTACTGTACCTGTGTACAGGAGGCTCACTGAGTCCTTTCCCACAGGTAGAAACCACTTCACCATAAAGGTTTATGAAATGAATCAGTGTAGTGCAAGAAACCACTCCAGAGTCCTCCCAGGAGAACTGGTCTCTGCTCTGGAGATGGGCTAATCCAGCGCTTCTGCCCACCCAGAAAGGTGCTAGGGGTGGTCAGAGAACAGGGGCTGTGCCAGGGCTGTACCTGCCCAGCAGCTGGGTGTGGGCACACCCCTGTGCTCATGGCAGGGTGCAGGTGCTCCCACTGGGCTGTGGGAATGAGCATGACCTGGATGAGGAGGGCTTGGCATGTGACGGACCAGTAAGAGTGAACATCATTAAAGGTGAGGTGAGAAAGAGTAGAAAACAGAGAAGTGAGGATGAGGAGGTGTTTGTCAGAGGGGATCCTCCCTCGGGGAGCACCTGTCCTGCTGCACTACGACCATCAGATCTCTGTGTCCTGCTGCTGGGTGTCCTGTCCCTAACGCAAGGTGTGGTGGCTCCCCAGCTCCTGCAGCACAGGCCTGGCACTGTAGCAGACCCCACAGAATTGTCTAAGACCCCTTGGAGGGCTGAGACTTAACAGTAGGAATTGCTGAGTCATGATGAGACAGCAAAATGAGCTCCTGTCTTCTGCCCCTGGGAGCCCAGCTTATCTCTGTAACCCCATAGGTCACTTTCCCCTAACCCCTACTGTTGGACAAGTTTGGATCCCTCTGTACCCTATAAAAAGGGGCTGTTTTAGGGCATTCAGCAGAAGAAGAGCCATCGCTGGAACCCTTCACAGACCCCTCAATAAAACCATTGCTGTGGAACCACCAGGATCTCTCCTTCTCCTCTCTCTTGCTGCTTCTCCCCCGAGCCCACTGGTGCCTTAGCAAGCAAGAGCTGATAATCCTAAAAGAGCTGATAATCACTAAAGAGCTGAAATCCTGAGCTTGCTTAAGGCAGCAGTGGCTATGAGCAGCCTGGGTATCCAGGCACTCTGTCTCCAAGAGGCACTGAGCTGTCTGGATAGCACTGCCTTGCTGGGGGCAGAGCCTGCTCTGGGGCAGGGGGACTTTATGGCACAGACATGGAGCATGTCCTTGTGCTGAGCCCAGCTGTGACTGCTGGCAGTGCCCTGTGTTTCCTCCCCATGGAGCATGTCCCTGTGCCCAGCTGTGGCTGTGGCAGTGCCCTGTGTTTCCTCCTCATGGAACATGTCCCTGTGCCTAGCAGTAGCAGTGCCCTGTGTTTCCATCCCAAGGAGCCTGTCCCTGTGCCCAGCTGTGGCACTGACCTGTGTTTCCTCCCCATGGAGCCTGCCCCTGTGCCCAGCTGTGGCACTGACCTGTGTTCCTCCCCATGGAGTCTGTCCCCGTGCCCAGCTGTGGCACTGACCTGTGTTTCCTCCCCAGCCCCGCTGCCCCCGGCCGCCGTGCGCCTG